ATAAATTAATTGCAGAGCACTTTTTAATATTTTACATCCCCCATCTAAACTGCCCCTCTCCCACTCCCCACTAATTCTAACTGTTTAGGAACTTTGAGAGCTGTTTTTAATACAGCACCAAAGGCCATCTGCAGAGAGTCTGTGTTTTTCCTCTTTTCTATTTAGGATATAACAAATTTTGACTATTTCTGGGGAGTTGGAGTTGGGGAGCGGGGTCTCCAGGTGCTCTCCAGAGTGAGGGTTGGACCTATGCGGGAGGAAGGAGATGAATTTACATTGCTTGATCATGTCCTCAAACCTTTACTGACCCAGCTTGTTAAAGCTGTCCCCGCTGCCAGGAGCCCTATTGGATGTCTGGTGATTTAGAGCTTTGCTTGCTCGGCTTGCTGATCTCTGAATACTCAAGAATTTTATCTGTCCATTTAAACATCAAAATTCACTTTTTAGAAGGGTGGTTTTTTTAACACGATTTGTATATTTGTAAGAAAACAAGAAAAGGGAAAAAATACTGCATTCAAAGCAACTCAGGCCAGGCCAGTGGCTAGTGTAAATTGCAGGACAGTTTGAGGTCTTGGGTTTGAGAGACCTAAGAAATACTGCCCAGCTGGCAAACTAAGGCTAGTCCATAGAAGGGAGGTGGAACAAGAGATTCTGTTTTTCCTGTACCCGCCGGTGGCATGTCTTTGGAGATGTATTTCAGCGTCAGGCTGGATGGTAGTCTGGGGACATGCTTCACAATCATTGCTGATATAGAAGCGATTCCAAGAGGCGAGTGGGAGTGACAGCTGAGTTATGAGGGGATACCCCACTTGAACTGACCAGATATTTCCTATGTCACTGCCACAAGACTAATAAGGTTCCCACAGCTCTGTGCTCTCCCGGATTTTCTGGTGGATGAGGCTGAAGCCTGAGCTCTTCCTGGGTTCTGAGGCAGGACTCACACCCATTTGTAATTTTTTTCCACCAGAGCATCCTGATAATATTTAGCACTTTCAGTAATGAATTCTCACAAGAGCCCTGGGATGCTACTTCCAGGAGCAGAGCTATTACTGTGCCATGATAAACAGAGACGTCCACACCAACCCACTTATTTCGGTCACTAACAGGGACTGTTCAGCTAAAACAACCACGCAGTTCGCAGGACAGTGATAACTACTCCTCTTACTGTTCCCCAGCTGCACTCTTGCTGCAGGTGCCAGTAATGCTCATGCTGTTGACACAGCATTATGCCGATGGCAACAAAAGTATTTCCATCATGGAACAAATCATTGTTCTGTCTATTGCAGCCAATGCCAGAGGCTTCAAAGACAGGTGTAAGTTATTTCTTTCTCATCCACATCTGACCACTTTATGTGCTAAAGCATGATATCTGATAACACTTGAGACTTTTAAACTTAGGTAGTGTAACTGCAGATATTATTCTTATTCACATACATGTATAACACTGATGTGAAACTTTACTAAAGCCAGTTTGTCCAGTAATGTCCAGTAGTAGAGAGTTTCACGGGTTAATATAACCTTTTCCTTGTTGCAAGGAAAATCTTCCCATGTCCTTGGGTTCTCTCACTTTACTAACTCCTGCTGTGCAGGCTCATCCTTTGGACATGTAGCTTTCTGCAAACCCTGGCTGGATCCTTCCAAGGAATCTGACCTCCTGTGAGCACCAGGTACCTGTTCCTACAAGCACCATCAGCAGGGGAGCTCATACCAGCTTTTACTTGTTCACTTGGGCTGGCATTGCAGTTTACTCCTAGGTTAGTATGGTGGGGAAGGGAAAAGGTGAGAACTTCCAGATCAGCCATACACCAGCAGCAAGTTTCCCTTCAGGAAGAACAAAATGCCACTGGCCTGGACCCTGTCTAGTAGCTGAGATTTTCTACACCCTTTTTCTAATTGTAAATTGGCTTCTTATTTCAGGGGGACGACAATAACCTGCTGGGTTTCCAACCAACTGGCCAACTGGGGGGTCATTAATTGGCATTTAATTTCTTTTGCCAAATAGGGCAGGCAGGCTATGGGGCACTGGGTCTCACAGTTCTGAATAGGCACTGCAAATAGACTGAGGTTAATGGGGCAAACTCCCCTTTCAGGTACAAAATGCATAGCTCACACTAGGTATGTATCTGAGGCCTGAGTTTGACACTGTCTATTATTGTCTATTTGTGGCTCAATCCTGCAATATCTGCAGGAGCAAAATTCCCATCAGTCTCTCTCTCTAAGTGCTTTTTAATGCACCCATTGCAGGCAAACTCTAGTCTAGATAGTATAACACGCATTGAAAAGTACCCGTTTGGTCTGAAAGGACTCTAACCTCCACCTCTGACAGTTTTGCCTGCAATCAAAACCGAAGGATTGGATCTTTAATAGGGTTGTTAGAGAGTAGTCAGCTACTTGACTACCCAATTAGCATAAGCTTATCGGGTAGTCTAGTGTAGTACTTGACTACTCACTTTCCTTTCAGCTTCCCCTTGCTGCCTCTGTATGAGAGGCAGCACGGGAGTGGGGAGAATAGGAGACAGTGCTGGGCAGGAGCTGGCTTAAAAGACAGTTCCCCCTGCACTATCTCTGGAGTGCTGCCTGTCCCCTCCTTCCCCACCCCTGCCTCTATCAAAAGCGAAGGGGGGATAGGGGAAGCTGCTGTGGTGGCCAGGGCTGGCTGGAGCCAGGGGCTGCTCCGGCAGCAGTCCCTGCCCACAGCCAGCCCTGACTGCCACAAACAGGGGCTGCTGGACTTGGCACAAACCGGCACCGAGCTGTCTTGGCTCATGATGGTCCGGGACACTGAATCTCTGCATTTTAAATGTAGTAAGAACCCAGTGGCTCTTACTACATTTAAAATGCAAAGCCACAGCGCGGATGGCTCCCAGAGCTGGCACAAGTCGGGACTGCTCAGTCTCACCTTGAGCTGGCTCCAGGAGCTACCCCCACTGCAGCTCTTCAGAGCAGTCCTTATTGACTAGTCGATACAAATCATGTCATTGATACAAATAACCACAGTTTAATATCCTTAGTCTTTAATCCCATCAGTGACTCCTACTTCTGGTTGATTTTCCTACCCTGGAAGTGCACTGGAAACCCCAGCAGCCCATGGTTGATAATAGGAACAATTAAACTGTTACCAGAGACTTTCAATGTATTTTGTATTTAATGCAAGGAAATAATTAGATCTGCTTCCATGATTCCATCCTTCCTCTGCAAGGAAGGGGTTAATATGCATTCCCAGATGATCTCTACGTGCAGCTCTGTATAGTTGTGTCGTCCCCCGCCCTTAACTTGTTTTTGGTAAAATGCTTTTTTTCTATGTGTATTTTATTGTAACTAGCATCCATTTTTAATTTTGTTTTTGTATGGAGAGATACCGCTGGGTAACTATTGTGGCTATGTTGTTTGGTTATAGCCTTTGAATGTCTGTGCCATTAGGTGGGACTGGTCTCAAAGACCTGCCAACCTGCCTTGGTTTGGTCTTAAGGAAAGATCATTCATTAAAATGTGTGAAAATTCTTTTTTAAAAACAAATGAAAAACTATAAAAAGGGGGGAAGGAAAAACCCAATGTAAATGAAATTTACTCAACTGTTTTAGTAACTAATGGAAAAATAATAGGAAATAAATTCTCAAATCAGGTCTGTAATATTTATAAGATCTGATCAGCTGATATGGTTCCTGGATGGAAATTGGTTTGTAACATTTGTTTTTGTTAACATTCTGGTTTATTACTCTCCTTCCTGTAAGATTGTCCAGTGAGACCCTATGCTCTTTGGACAAATATATTTTGGCTGAATAATTGCAACTGATTTCTACAGGGGAGATTCAATGGATGCATTCCCCTCTCCTCTCAAGGTAAAATTAAAATGATTTGGTAATTCCTCCGTAATGCAAAACTAGCTGGTCATGTAGGAGGATGAGACATTTCCCTGTTTGTCAGATTTCTTAGCCAAGGGGGGGGGGGGGGGGGGGACAAGAGAAATTCCAACCTGCAGTGCTACAGGATTTGCCTTCTGAGCAAAACACAGTGTCTCTGTTTAATACTTAATCCTGAAGGACCAAAGAATACAAATTGGAATCAAACCCTAATCTCTGCCCTCAATTCCTCTTTCTTCCCCTGCCCCACCCGAATCACGGTAGAAGCAGTTGAAAGGGTTGGCACAAGGCATGAAGTGTGTCCCTTCCCCCCCGTACATTGTACTTTGAGTCTTTTATACATTGACTTTTCCTCTCCTTCCTCTGGTCCTTTTAACAAAGGTTTTTTAAATCTAGGTTTCTATGAATTTGTAATTGCTGCTCTTTCAAAACATGCAATATCTGAAATGTGAAGGATTTCTTTTGCTCCAGATGAAATAGAGGACTTGATCTTTGTGTATTTGATGAATATTTTTGGTGCCCTTTTCTTGCTAGAAATTAAAAATAAACTAAGAAAATAAGAGTGAATTCAGGGGGACAGAAAAGGGGCTCTCTAGCAGCTGTTGACTTTACATCATCTGAGCCAGGGGATATTTGCATGGAGCCACAGTGCTGCTTTTAAAGCAACAGGATTCTGTGATCAGCTTTTGTGTTTATTAAAAGGGGATTTGCAGAAATATTGGTGCTAATATAGCCATCCACTATAATGTACTGTCACATGCTGTGTATTTTGGAGCAGAAAAGTCCACAGCGTAAATGGAATAATTAAATCAGACCAAAGGGACCCTTCTGTGGAGTGAGTCACATTAAAAGGCGAAAAAAAAGTTTAAGTCAAAGTGGACAATTTCCAGCTCTTCTGACTTAGCAGCACATTTGGCAGATGCTAAGTAGATAAGGTGTGTCTGGGAACAACACCCTCCCCACCCCCAGATCCCACTCCTCCACACGAAGTCCTTATTGAATAATTATCATTTTCTTTCAAAAATGTCTCATAGTGTTGGAAGGGTTCACTACAATCGCTGACCTCAATGACTAATTCTGCCTGTTTGGCAGTTTCCTAGCCCTGATTAGAGGGAAGAGAGTAT